TCTCCTAGGAGAATGCCCTTATTGGCCATTGAGTTGTCACCATTGGACAGATGGGCTGTGCCCCCATAAGGTTCAAAGAGATTCATAGCTATAAAAGCAGGAACCTGGTAATATAATTTTGCAATGCTTAAAATGGACAACAGGTTCAGTTTTCTTCTTTACTTCTACTTGTGCAATAGGCTAATTAGGTTAAAATATAGATTTTATTTTTATTTGACTATTGGGGCTTAAGAATTGCAAAGTGCAGTAATCCGATGCAGCCAATCCGACACATTTCACTAATTGTATGGATGCTTGGGGTGCCAATTTCCATAGGACTGATAAGAGGATCTAACCGAACTGAATTGTGTCAGTACCGTGAAGCTGAAAGTGTTCAGAAATTAAACAGGCAGCTGCCTCATTTCTTAGGATCACCACCTGCTGATGATCAATATTAAAACATGAAATGATACACAGTTCATAGTCACAAGTATACAAATCAACCATATATAGGTTTTCTTTATAGAAACAAATCCATCATCACCTTCAAAAAAAACTTACCTTGGGTAGTAAGCAGTGTAGTTCATGAAGAGCTGAGCTCCGGCTGGGTAATATGCAGCGGATGGTCCTAGGGCCCGAGGATTCAGGAGCAGGGAGGGCTGGTACAAGGTGGCGGCCTCTGCAGGAATTACAGCTGTCTGGGCAGGGAATGTATATGATGGAGGAGACAGACCTAGCAAAAGACAAATGAAATTCAATGACAAGGGATAGGAGTTTTATCTTTCTATTCTGAACTTTTGTAAACCTCTGGTTCTGGACCAAATGTAGAAAAATTGCACCATAATAGAAAAAAAAAAAATGGCTTGTTCCGATCAAAAACGCCTCAGCTGTTTTCTTATACCGTCTAACAATAATTATTTAAAAAAATGTATTTGCTAAATTCTTAATTGGGGTTTACATGCTGGACATGAAGAGCTACACTCAGGTTTTATTGAGTCCCTAGAACAGAGCCTCATTGCAAACCTTTAGAAAAAACACATTATATTTATGGCTGCACTGAAGCCAATAGTAAGAGTATGCAAATAATTGTTGGGGTCAAGACAACATTTGTAGTATTCAGACAACACTTCTTCTGGCTAACGTGAGGCGTTTAAGCTACAAAACCGATACATGATGGATGTCCAAAGCTGTACCAAACCAGTAAGCTCCTCTGAAATGTTTAATTGGTCAGGTGAGGTCAACAAGAGAAAAGCCGTTTAAAGTTGAATTCCAGGCACAAAAATTCTTATCTATATTCAATAACCACTCTATAAATCCACTTAATGTAATACTATAAGGCATGACACTTTACAACATTCCACTGCTGTATTCTTACTCCAGGTTGTGGAATCAGGAAAGCAATGCAGATTAAGGATGGAAGCCTGGAGCATTCATCTAGAAAAACAGGTCATTAATGGCCTCTCAATATTTTGATGCTCTAAGATATTGTAGGTGCAGGATTTTGTAGGCATCTGCTCTAGAGCTCATGCTGACTGTTTTGGAGTGTGTTCCAAATGTCTAAGTCAGTGAAACCCTATTGAGGAACAGTACAAATTACTGTTTAGACGCTGCTTCTGGACCCGCTTTGTGTTGCGCTGAATTTTGTCAGAAGCAGCATGTGCAATGAGATGCATTGAAACTGCAGGCAAAGTAGGTCAAATGCAGCTTTTCGTTTTTTTTTTCTAATTTAAATGCAGCTGCACGAGTATGAATTGAAGACACCGTGTTTGACAAGAATGTCGTCAAAGTGAACCCTTCCAGTTCTGCCGACAGTGGGCTCCAATAAGGTATGGGTACATTTTAAATTGGTACTGCTACATGTGAAAACCAAAAGGTTTTTTTGTTTAATTTGTAATTGCACAGACCATATTCCTGATCCAAAATAAACTGGAATTTGATTGCACTTGCCATGGCTCATCAACCAACTGTTTACAGTTGGACTCAACTTTGGTATAAAGCAAGTTTGTTTTTTGGACACAGAGAAAGTTAGTCCTGGGAATGGATGTTTGATCCAGATTTATGTCCGCTTTAAGAAATTAAGGTTTGTCTTACAAGTGACATTTAGGTTTCCTGGATGCATATAATTAGTTCTCCATATATGAGCAGAAGGAGCTACAATTCCCCCAGAGATGTATTACTATAAAGGCACAAGACCCACAGGGTACAAATACTGGAGCTTTTAATCACTCTGGAACAAGTATAAACCTGACCCCATAACATATGATTGAAGGTATTCAGATTCTGAAAGGTTAGCCTTATGGACAAGGAGATTTAAAAAAACAGACGCGCTGGAGATAGATAAGATAAAGAAATGACACGTGCTGTGCTGCCAGACAGTGGGTTGACTCATGAGTCACAGAGGAAAAGTGAATGCTTGGTACCCAGACTTCCCCCATCAAATGTAAAGCTGAAGTTAAATTTGCCTTTCCATTTGACGCAGGGTAGGTAGCAGGCTAAGGCCCCTTGATGAAAGGAGGTCTAGACTGACTTTGAATATAGGAAGACTTCTTTACAAAAAAAAATAAATAAATATCTACATACACTAAGTTTCGGATAGAGTAGGAAGGGATTAGACTCTTTGCCAAGTTTGAACTGACGTGTCCCTGCTGGGGAGATTCACCCCTGTTTGTCTAGGTCACCATTATCACTTAGACATAGTGGGTGAAATGCCAAAATGTTAGCATTGCCGCCACAGCAAGAGGCGAGGGGAAATCTTTCAATAGGGACAAAAAGGTGTACATCCTTCCCTACTTTATCCAAATCTTTATTTAAAAAAAAAAACAAAACAATTTGGCCTTAAGTTCCTTTAGCAAATGATCATTGTATCAAATCATTTGCCATAGGTGTAAATAACCTTTACCATCTAAAAAAGAAATGGCTCCAGTCCCATTTGCTACACATGGAATTATGATTCATAATCAAGAAATCCAGATCTTGATAAAATCATTCACCATATTTATCATTTGAACAATGTTACACTACCTGACCTAATCTGGAACTGCAATGCTTCCACTATTGCACATCTGACTATGTCAGCCTTAATTCCTCATTGCATTCCCTCTCTCCACTTGCTTTCCCCAATGTGCAAGGTGAAAGACCAGCAGTTTCCCCTGCTGAAGAAAGATATCCCTCTGTGTGTAGCTAAGGAGTCTTTGATCTGTTACAATTGTAGGTAGATGTAGAGAGCACACCAATTTCATTGCAGAATAACAGTGTGCCCATTTATTAAGGAAATAGGTCAATCAGATAAGCGCCTTTGGTGCCGCGAAGGATCCCCTGCAACAGGCTCATCAATGACGAGCCGGATTAAGGGGAGCCTCAGCCCCGAAATAAATGGATACTCAAATTATTCTGAAACCTAGCTATAAAAATTCTACTGCTAACCTAGCGGTGCCAGCCGCAGTCACTGCGAGCACCCCCCATACTATTTGGGATAGAACCCGGTAAGTACTGCGACAAGGGATCCACATACTGTTTGATCTGTTACAAGTCACAGTTAAGTAGGTTATACATGGAACAAAATTCCTCTGGTTGCTGATGAGCCTCAAAATTTGCAGTGGGTGCATCTTTCAGCACCCTTCCACCCATCATCCCTTATTCCGCTGATCGAAGGAGTGGTTTGGAAAATTCTGGGCCTGAATGGAGCCGGTAGCCAACCAGCTGCAAATTTTGACGACAGTGATCGTTGTCAGAATGCAATGGAAACAGCAGGGGATATGTCCTTCAACGTTCGTAAGTGTTGAGGATTCTGTTCTATTTTTTTTTTTTCATTCAGCCTGCAGGTTTAATAAAAAAAAAAAAAAAAAGGGACCCCCAACCTGAAACAAGTGTTATTTTAAAGGAGGGATAACCTGTGCAGACATCTTTGTAAATGGACATCTGCCATACTTTTAACAGCCATTAAAAATAGCACTGACCCTGCTATAAAAATCACACTAGCAGTAGTTAAACACCACCACTGAAAGAGCAGGCTAAACACAGCATTCAACTTTGTGAATTGGGCCTTTAGGGACCTGAGCTATAGAAGGCACAGCATCAAGAAATTAACTGGAGAACAAGAGAGAAACCATTCTGTGAACTGAGCCAGTTATCTGTAACTCCCTCACAGTGTGCAAGTGTGTACACTCCAACGGTGATTTCAAATCTAAATTCAATATAAAAAAAAAAAAGCCAAGGTGTGATTATATGCAGGGCTATATTAAACATAGGGGCTACTGAAGTGCCAGTTCCACCACTGAAAATAGGCCCGGATCACCTCAGTATGTCCAATGGCAATCTGGGCTGTTCAGGCTGAACACAATCAGGTAGCGGTGCTGGCAACTCTCTAACCAGGCATATTATGCGGCCACTCATTAGGGCCTTGTGGGGCTCCGAGGAGTGAGCAGCTGCCCAATTATAGAGCCGCCTCTGCTGCTTCCAGTCTGACCGACAGTACCAGGCCCATGATGCTCTTAACTCGGCTCTGATTATATCTATGGTTTTGTGACTACAACTGTAGTGTTCTTAAGGTTTTGTCTATCCTAAGGTTTCAGTTTAGAGATTAACACTTGCAAAAAAAAAAAAAAATCTACTTGATGCAGGTAGGCAAGCAAACACCATAAGAATTAATGCATCAAGATCAATTTAGGTAAAGATTAGAAGGTGGATTTGCATGGCATCTGGTTAAAGCATAGAACATATTTAAAAGGTGTGACACAAATTAATGTTTATACATCTTGCAGGGCTGTGTATGCTTCCATCAACAGTGCAAGAATCAAGAATGCAGTTTCACGCTTTGCTTTGGATGAAAAGCTTCTAGTCTACTAAAGTAACTTAAAGGGGAACTAAACCCAAAAACATATTTTGTTGGTGCAGTTTCATTTGTTTATAAAACTTTCTTCCATTTGCCATTTCTCCATATCGATGATCTTACTCAAACCATTTTGAGGCAATAGCCTTTACACTACCAGTTGTCACCTCAACTGGAAAGTCGCAGAGCTGCTCTCCAGGTCCGGTCAACCCCACACCAGCCATTTCACAGTAGACCCACCGGAACATTTATGACAACGGAGCAAACAAATGTAGGGGCATCACATGGATATCTGGTTTTCTGTTATCCCTACAAAATGGACAGCTGAAATCTAATTAGATTATATATGAGTAACACCTCTGCTTTCGTTTGAACCAGCTTTCAGAAAATGATCCGAATGGTTGCAGTAGTGAATACCAAGCTTCAGTATCTGGCCAATTGGCCCCGCTGGCTCTCAAAATACCTGAACAATGCCTACATCCGATCAGATTGTTCAGGTATTTTGAGAGCCAACAGGCCCAACTATCAAGATACTGAAGCTTGGCCCAGCGGGAGATTCCTCCATCCAGGCAGTTTAGCGTAGATGGAGAAATCTGTTGCACGTTTTCCATCTGAACATTTTTTTTGGGGGGGGATACAGGGTGGGGAAGGGTTAGAACCCCAGTCAAGATTTTATTTCTGTAGGTGTTCCCCATGTAGAGCCTCTCTCCCCATTTGTCCTGGAGACAGTGGTCAGAGAAATCCAATATTTTACAGTTGTGACGAGAACAAGTGATCCTTGTTCTGGATCTCTTTCCAGAACAAGGAAATCCTTCTGGGTGCCTGTTCTGGTAACTACTGCCCAAAAGGAGAATTTCTCATGTTTTGAAGAGATTCCCTTACCTCTAGTTGTGTCTCCAGTACAGGATAAACCCACCACAGGGCACAGAAAGCTAAAAAGACAGACAGGGGTAACCCTTCCCTACTCTAAGACTCAAATGAAAAGTATGGGCTATACATACACTTTAAATTACACCTGTCAAGATAGAAGTATGCCAATTGCCATTCATAGCCTTTAGAAAATGCTGGTTCCCTGCCTGGTTTTAAAACTTTTAGGTCAGAGACCTGAACAAGCTTGTTGTATATGAATGCTAGAAAAGTGGCAGAGTTCCTAGTCTGGCATAAATCGCTTATGACAAATAATCTAATAAAAACTGTGCAAAAAGTGCCGCCCACAAACCAAAACACATCTGTCATCTGCTGAAACGAAATCTCTAAATGGCTCCAAAGGGTTACTGCACACCAATCTTTGCACTGCGTTAATAGGAGCCGATAGCCATCACTATGAAATGGTGGCTGCAATGGGGGCCAGCTGAATAATGGGGGGGGGGGGGGGACAACTGTGAAGCAGCTCATTCTAGGCATTATGGAAGACACCACGTAGAGGTTTCATTGCCAAGACAAAAAAAAAGGACCTGGCATGCAATCCTCAGTGTAGGAAAGCATTTGTTGACTTTTGCTTTAGTTCCCCTTTACAGCATAGACATACCAGCCATCCCATCGGCGTTCCCGAAATCTCATTCACCATAAGAGAATTGCAATCGTTGATTTTTATGTTCACAAGTAAACATGGTAAATGGCCAATGATGACCCAAAATACCAACAGAAAGGAAAGCAGTTCCAACACCTACCAGCTCAAAGCGCAGAGAAGCGGCAAGACCCTCAAGCACACACTTACATGGTAACTTACATGGCGGCGGGGACAAGCCATTGCGATTTAAAGTTCCCCCCATTAAGACAAAGTTCATCTCCTCTGCAGAACATTGAAACACCTCCACATATCTGTCCTTCATGGTCTTCTTGTGACACCTCTGTGCTGCCAGAAACGCCCGCTCTGCAGACTTCATCTGAATAAAGGAGTCTCCTGATGGTCGGCCCTAATGGAAAAAAAAAAATACAAAAACTAACAATGGAATTCATGACTTAACATGGGTCTATAGTTGCAGGGGCAGCTTTATATGCCCTTGTAATTCACTGTAAACGCCAGATGCATAATCATATTTTACAGAACTGTATACACAACAACCTCTGGACCACCTCACGCAGCACGTGTGCAACCTCTGGACCACCTCACGCAGCACGTGTGCAATCTCTGGACCACCTCACGCAGCACGTGTGCAATCTCTGGACCACCCCACGCAGCACGTGTCCAATCTCTGGACCACCTCACGCAGCACGTGTGCAATCTCTGGACCACCTCACGCAGCACGTGTGCAATCTCTGGACAGCACCTGTCGGGTCAGGCCCCCTATATCTAGTAAGTTGCCTTCTACTGCTGTAGCCAATTTGAGTCTATAGATTCCAGATCAGTTTACAGTACTATGTTAAAGGCTAATCAGTGCCTGACAGCAATTAAAGAATAGCAGGGCTCAATGTACTGACACCATAACAGAACATTATGAAATGGTAATTGGTCAAACAAAAACTTTTTATTTAGCTTTGGATAGAGTGTGGAACACATAGACCCTCCGTCAGGTTTTTATGGGAGATTTACTTCCGTTTGCCTGAGTGAACTTTGTTACTAAGAAAGAAAGTGAGGGGAAATCCAAAATATTACAAGTCTTCCAATGGCGCCCCCTGTTATGGCTATACATGCACTTTAAATCTGTCTTTTTAGCCAACATGGCCATCATACTCCGTGGTAGAACATGTGTGTGTGTTCTAGACAATCAAAAAGACACGAATGGTCGTAAGCAATATAAAAGAAAAAACACAACACCACAAACCACACAATCAAGAGTCCATAAAGGCTGGGCACATAAGCAATTTTTGATACAGAAATTACTTATGAGCGGCCTGCAAGTAATCTGCATGCAGTAGCAATTAAATCACACATGTTTGGAGCATTGGGCTACCATTAACATTTAATCACCGCTACATCCTGCACTCCCTTGTTTCCCATGTGTAGCAGTCACTACTGCGGAGCAATTAGAGTCTATGGGAACACCCATTGCAGACATCCTTTAAAAACAAAAAATAGTCAAACCAATCATTTTTCCCAGCTGAGCAAACCAAGATTCTTGCGACACGCTTCATACTCATCTTATCACTGCCCAGGGGATGCAGCATTCCCTAGAAAATACAAGATACCTCAACAATAGAAATGTACTACGCGATAGTCCTCAGATTATGTAATCCGTGTATAGAAAACCGTTGATGTAGCGCATTCTTTCTAAAATGCAGTAACTATCTGCTATTGGCATTCTCTGTGTAAGTCTAGGGAACTCTATTACTCTTCACGTGATCCAACAGGGGCATATATTACAAAAAAGGGAGGTCTGGCCCATCAAGAGTTTATTTGTGGTTGTGAAGAGGGAGGTTGATGAACAGGTTTATCCAGTAAGGTACAGTTAATTGACCCATAGGAACCATAAACCTTTCTCTTTTTTTGTTTGGATGAAATGAAGGGTTTGAATCTGTCAATTTTTTTCCCCCTTACTGTTGTCCATGTCTGGGGTAGATTGACACAGAAAATCATGAGAAACCAAAATATTTAAATAGTCGCCTCCAGAACAGAAGGCAAGGGAAAAATCTAGAGGAACACCTAATTTGGTAACAACTAAGAGGGATATCTAGATCGGCTATACCTACATTTTAAGAAGAAATCTAATTGCCATAAATAACTGTACTCCCAGATATCATTAGCTGTCAAAAGGAGGTTCATTTTCCTTCCTAAACCACCCCCCCCACTTGTGATTACTATGCAACATGAACCATAGGGTTAACTATGGCAGATGTTGAAATTATGATTAAAGTTCTCGTCATTAAGTAAATGGGAGTTGCCCAGTGCAGGTTATTTTCTTTGTGACCTTGGATAAGTTAATCTCTCCGTCTGTCTGCTATAGTTGTGCAGTCGACGCTGTGTGCCTATGTATAGAGCCACAGAGATGTGTACATTGACAGCTCTAGACAATAGGCCCGCATTGTTTTATTGTACTCCTATGGGACTGTGGAAGGCGGCAGAGCAGCCTCCTAGCTGTATTGTTTGAGTTGCTTATGGTAAACATTCCATATACAGGCCTTAAAATCTAACCGCAGTTAAAGTGAACCTGAGAAGTTTGCAAACTTCTAGTTCTAGATTTGTCGGAGTTAACCTATCCGTGCTATGCAATAGTAACTGCAATACAGACAAATATCTGTTCCGTTACAGGGAAATTGCTTAAAGCTAAATCAGTTGATTCAGAAACTAATGGCACATAATGTAATGGTCAGACAGGCAAACACATCACTCCCCTCCTAAACACTTGCCCACCATTATCAACTTTATAGAGATCTCATAGGATAGAAATATTGCAATGCCCTACATAAGATAGGTAGTACCTCTTATGTCAGGAAAGTAGTACTTATTTCTATTTTAAAAGGTAACTGAAATGGGACAAAATGTTTAAATACTCATCTATTTTTTAAATACAGCTTACATCCCCATTGGTACCCACAAACATAAGATGGCAAATCAAATCTCCAACAGCCAAAAGCAAACATATTGTCAGATTCCTCGGGTCCCACGGTGTCTGTCTGATGTGCATGCTCCCAGCTGCGTGCATTTTCCTCCACGCCGAAGACCTCTACTGCACATGCGCCCACCCAATCATCCTGCATGGCCGCTCGAGAAGCTTCAGATCTTAAGCGGGGAGCGAGCGACAAACCGATTAGAAAACTTTTGGTAACTTTTTATTTAAAAAAAGTTTTTGCATATATCTACTGCTTGCTAGCAGAAGATGTATCCAAAGAAAAAAAGTTAAATTTTATTTGTACTTGAAGTCAGGGTAACATGTTATCTACCCTGAGTGTGTCTGTAGTCCAGTCTTTCAACAAACTATTCTCTTGGATCGGATAAAAAACACCTTACAGGTCTTATAGGGTGTGTACAAACGCTGACAATAAAAATGTAAGCACCTATAAAAAAAAAAAAAAACACGCAACATTGACAAAAGTTCCAGGATTCACAAAGGGAATTTTTAATCTTTTGCTTTTGGCAGATTTAACCACTTGCTAGCAATAAACTTAATTAACCTGGCGTCACACAGCAGATCTTTAGTGGTTCTCTCATGCTACCAAATTTGCTAGCAATTAATCACTGTGGGTAGCACATAATAGCTGAAGAGAGTAAATACTGACTTCCTGTGGAGTAAATGGCACAAACAGCATGTAGTAGCATTTTGCAGCAATAACTTACACAGGGTTATCCAGGATGAAGTAGTAATTAGTCAATGAAGAAGTTCCAAATGGGTGTCTGACAGTATAGGTGCGTGGGACCTTTGGTTATATTTTGAGTAGAACTATGACCTCCTATTAAAAATAGTATGTGTCGCAACACTTCACTTATCAGTGCATCTGCACCTACAGTTTTCTCTTCGCCCCTCTACCAAGTCCCACAAATATCTGTTGATTCTGCCAGTGAAGTCCACCTAATGCTGCACTGCTCCTAAATTTAGTTGCTACACTCATGCAGGCTGTACTAGCTTGTAGTACAATGGGATGAAAACAATGTTGCAGGGGGCATTGCTGTCTGCACAGTCACTGCTAATCCAGAAGCCTGTAACTTGCTAGTCAGCACCCAGCCACACCTAGTTTTGCCCACTGCATTCTGGATTGTCAGCTCTGCCTCTATTGCTGAACCTCCACCCCCAACGTGAGCTGCAGTGTCAGGAAGGGGAATGAAATAGAGAACTTGGCTAAGCCAGGGGTTAAAGAATTAAAACAAAAAAAACTGTTTTTTACTTTAGAAGGCTTGTGCATCACATTGTACCTGGATCTGGTACTTGATTCGATGGTCATACAGGAGCATTTCGTTGTACTTTAACAGTGCAAGAGTTGTAATAGTACACAAGAGCAAAGTTGGGTAAACACTGCATGAAGGTATCAATGATATTGATTTAGTAAATAGGAATTAGCAGGTAGAAAATGTAAACTTTACCTGGTGATTCAGCACCATATGAACTCCATGTGTCTTGATATCAGCAGAAAATTCACCCAAAAACTCCAAGATATCCTCTATTGTGGCAGCATAAGGAAGACCTCTCAGCCGTATACAGTCTCTGACATTGATCTGAGGCATAAATGGCTGAGGTAGTACAGGAATGATGGGTGGTGTTGGAAGAGGGATAAGAGGTGTAGAAGAGTATCTGTTCAGTACCTGTAAAGAAAATTGTATACGTACATTACACGATAATACACACACGCTTCCTGTTAAGGTTGCAGGAAAGTTTTAGAACTAGAGTATCACCCAGTTGTGTTTGCACAGTGTTGGGATTCACGTGGTGGAAGGTAAGAAAAAAAAAATATATTACATCATTGTTAAACATTAATAGCGTAATTATGCAGACATGGAAAGTGGAAGGAAAAAAAAAAAGCTTTATCCTTTCTGCACATATGTCAAGGTCTAGTTTGAATAGTGACATAACACTACGTAGGACAAACGAATGCTTTAAAAAACAAAAAAAAAAAAAAAAAATGTAGTCTTGATCTGGACAGCTTGATATTTTCTGGATATAGAAAGGACAGCTTTATGCAAATCAGATTAAAAACCTTTTTGATTAGGTACAAGTAAGCCGGAAAAATATATGTTCTACCGCATTAGGTTCCTCCGTGCAGCCATGTAGAGCCTATTATCTTTTTTTTTTTTTAGGACACTGACTAACTGCATTGCCCTTCAGTGGGTTCACTGGGTAGAAACGGTAGTATCTTATACCACAATATCTTGTTTTGGCCAGTTCCTGATATTTTGGAGATTGGTTGGGTGAAAACCTTAGCGTTGCAATATTTGCATATACACACACACACACACACACACACACACACACACGGCAGCCCACTCAATTTGAATGGGCTGCCAATGCACAACAGACCTTTTTAAAGGCACTTGCACCTTGTTTCGCTATACCACAAGGCACAGAAGGTTTCTCTTCCGTAATACCTTGGGGGCCGTGCGTAAAGATAACATCCCAAATTAATGGCAACACACCATAGTTTGTGTTAGTGGATGTTACAGTAACACGTTTTATCTTTCATTTCCACATTGCAAAAGTGGCCTTAAACAGTCTATAGTAACAAATTTGACTAGATTTTTTACATTCACATAGTTCATAAAACGCAGAACACAAGACATTAGCCAGGGCAAAAGTTATAGAACATTATACATACCTGCTGCACCTCTGCTGCTGTGCTCCTAAACAGCTCAATGTATCGCTTGCCCAACAGGTCCTTGTGCTTCTTCAGTGCGTTCTGTGCATATTCCTCACAGGCGAAGAGCACAAAAGCGTCTCCCGTCGGCCGGCCGTCAGGGTAGGTAACAAATAATATTCCTTCCTTGCCTCCAGTCACAGGACAGTGCTGCCCAAAGAACGTCAGCACTTCTTCGGCAGTGGCAGCAAAGGGCAGACCCCGCATGCGTACAATCACTTGGTTCTCTTTGGACAAAAACTGAGCAATGCAACAGACCAACTACATATATGTCTCATCAAGAGCTGGCCTCAGACACTGATCGGGGAAGGAGCACTTAAAGCTGAATTCCAAGCTAAACAAATATAATCTATTCTTAATTGAATCTTGGTGTCCTCTGTATATTCCCAAACTGAAATTTCATTTACTATGGACCAGTCACTGCTACTAGTTTCCTTTAAGCCAGCATGACTGGTCTTATAACCGTCCCTTGTATTATTCTGCAGGCAGGCTGTAGTGGGTGGAGTTGCTGCCCTATCCCACAGCTCTGTACAGGCTATGTGCAGCCCACTGATGAAGTCACTGCTACCTTTTACATGATCATATCTGGGTTAGCAAGGGCATTTGGTTGAGGAATATGTTTAAAAATCTTTGTGGTCGGAGTTCAGTTTAATTGGAGGAAATTAGCAAATGCAATTAATGCCCCCCCTTAATGTTACTTTCAACCCCCCCAAACACCCACTACAGTTTGGTAATTCCCCTTTCAATCTACCATTAATGTAAGAGCATTCTTACACAATCCATTTAATTCATATCCAATCAAGCAGATCCCAATGCAACACAATTGTTGGTAGGTCTAAGGAGTGTAAATGCATGATCAACCTTTAAATATGAATACAGTAAACTCTTCATTATCCGGCATCCACAGGGATTGGTAGATTTTGGATAAAGATAGTTTCTGGTTGCTAGACACTTACTATTAAAAAATGGGTTTAACTAATGCCATACCCCATACTATAACATAACAGTATATTGTACTCTAAACCATTAGCAATACATGGCAGCACTGGGAGTGGTCACTAGGTGGCACTTGTTCACAGCGATAACAGCACTTTTCAGAGATCGTTCAGACACTCATTCCCAGGATAATCCAGCACTTTTACCCTTCCTTTCCATGCTCCTTAGCCCTCTCTCCCTCTCCTAGAAGGTGGCAGATCAGTGAGTACACAGGGGATTTGTTTTTGGCTGTTCGATGGGAGTTCCGGTTAGCTGAATACTGGATAACAGAGTTTACTATATAAAAAGAGTTGTGACTTAGAAGCTGAAAAGAAAACGTGTGCTGAGAGGAATGTGGAGACTGCCATTATGGACCCCTTTTGCATATGCTAACTGCCTGGCTGTCATGCTCAGTTACTCCAATACACAGCCACCGATCATAGTTTAATAGAAAAAATAAACCCCCACACCTGCTTTGGGAATGGGCAAGAAACACCATAGCCATTTCGGCAGCATGACAGCCAGGTAACTAGCAGTTTCAGGAGAAGAGCACAGCAATGGCAGCCTCTATTTTACAAGTTTCCTGGCAAGCGAGGGATCACCAATCTAAAAATGGATCTAAAGGAAATGCTCTGATCAGCAGGATACTTAATTACCAAGTGTGCGTAGCAAATTATTTAAATATATCGCTTTCTGTTTGTCTTGGGAAAAAGGCGAATAAAGAATTGACACAAAATAATTGCGTATCTGGCCTTTACATAAAAATGTAGGGCCCTGCAATTCAGGCAATACATGGTTGTAGTGATCCCATTCCAGAGTGTAGCAATTGGCAGGAGACAACCTGCTTTCCAGCACCAAAATTGTATTGACATGGCCGATCCCCTAAGAATAGCCCAGTCCCACCAGTGCTTTCCATGCTATGTACATAAGAGCTAATTAAAGTAGAACAGTTTAGATCTTGTAACAATTACCTCCGGCTATTTTTAGAAAGTCTTCTCCTGTGGCTTTATACACCTAGAAGAGGAAAAACAATAGGATCATGTGGTGTTCAATTTTCAAAAGCAGTGAACAGACTTAGATCACATTGCAGCATAAGGTACCTCAATGTATCTGTTCCCCATGTGATGCTTGTGTCTCTGCAGGGCTAGATCTCTGTGTTCTTCACTCACAAATCTGACCAGAGCCTCGCCATTCCTCCTCCCTTGTGCATTGAGACAAAGGGCTGCTCCACCCCTATACATATAACATACAGAAAACAGTCAGAACGTGAAATATAGCAATGTTAGGAAATCTGTGACTCTGGTCATTGATTGTATACAAAGGCCTAAATTTAGGCAAAGGTGACCTAGGAGGTAAGATGTTGGGATTTTAGAGCACAATGCTCAGTTTCGTTATGTGTTTTAGCTCGGTCTAAATCTGTAATAACGGAGGAGAAGAAATATTATTATATGTACTGTGCGCTTATTCATGTTGCACGCGTTTGCAACGGTGTGACCAGAAATGAGTGGCCATAGTGAAGATAGATCTAGATGTGGAAACAAGGCAGTTCATGTCTAGTGGAAGGCTGACTACTTTCTCTATTAAAAAGTGTGCAAAGATTTCCCATTACGGGAGAAAATCTTGCTAGAGCTTCTGTGTATTGGAAGTGTCTGTTCTTTTCTCTATTACGATGGTACTCACACAGCACACCCAATGTAAAAAAGATTACAGTTCATATGATCTTTGGATGCATGGTCAACCTTAGTGTCACAACTGGCAGAAAACAGGTTGCTTTGAGCCTCATGAAAGAAAAAAAAAAAGTGTTAAGTGAAAATTTTTGCACCCATAACAGAAAATGTTATCTGGTCTAAATATCAAGGTGTGTAAAATATAATGGATGTGCAGTTTATGAATATTTGTCAATTTTGGAATTGTTCTCTTAAGTGCCTCCACCTGCACTTTGAGTATGCCTGTTCCTGGCCTTCTCTAAGCTGCACCTGTAAAAATATAGCAATAAGCTAATCGATTGCCACAGGGAACAAAAAACACACAAAAAAAAAACCAAACGTCTTTATATTTATGTCCAGGATAGATGGTGTGTTCTAAAGTATTCTTGTTGTCTACAGCAATCATTTCAACTACAACCATCTTTTCTCCGGTAAATGTACGTAAAAAAAGGAAATCAGTTTGCAATAGGCAACAAGGACTCTTCTTTAATGAGACTAGTCTTCAATATTGGAAGTGTGATGGAAAAACATTTGGTAGCAAACAGATTCTCACATCATGCAGAAGCTAAATCCATATTTTAGAGGTTTGCGTTGGGAAACTAAAAGCGTTTTCTGTTAAGACCATTTTGACCATCAGGATCTACTTTTCACACAAAGCCCAACATTGAGTTTAACCGTTACCCATCCATAGCAGTGCAAAACCTAGAGGCATGGACCTCTTGGAAAATTGTGAGAATGTGCAACATCCAGGTTAATTTGAAGATAACCGTATCCCACTGTCATCAAAAGAAAAGACACCCCAACAGCAAAAAAAAAAAACAAAAACAAACAAAAAAACACAAACCAACCATGTTCACTGCAACCATGAAGCTTTGACATGCAGAGATAAAATCATGGTAGATCAGTCTACCGTGAAATCCAAAAGAAAATTTACGCCAGAAGGGAAAAGTGACAGAATTGGAAATTTTCTTAATACAGAAACCCAGCTCAGGGGGAAACACACACTGTTGCAATACAGGGTCTCGCTCAACCAAAAAGCGTAACCCTGCCCTGACCCCTGTACTAATCTTACCTGAGATACCGCAGGGTGTATACAATCACCCCCTAAGATATGGCAATTTCCCAACTGGGAAAAACAAAAAAAACAAAAATAACTAATGTGAATAAAGAGGCCAAATGAGGATATAATGCAAGGGAAGATGAACTTTTCGGAGGGTGGTGCACTCACTTTGCAATATTTAACCCCTTGAAGAATCGCGCAATATCTTGATCAGATGACTGCCATGGCAGACCTCGGGCTCGGATAATTGCGTTATCATCAATAGTCTCCAGTTTGCTGCTGTAAGACCAAATAAGATCATTGAAATACTCTTTTTTGAACACATTTTATATCATGCAGCACAGCATCAAAAAAAAAAATCCAACCTTGAAACGGGTGTTGACCCATTTTGCCAGCCTATGTTTGTGTAGGGCTTATAAATAACCAGTGAAAAGGTGTTTGAATGTTGCTTCAGGGGATCTGTAGATAAACAGCCAAGTCAACCTAGCCATTCCATGAGAATCTCTAGATCACTGTAGACTAAAGAGTCTCAAACCTATCCAGAGCTTCATCAACAATGCCCTTTTCTGTGGATAGCCTCATCGGAGTACAAGGGAACCTACTGTAAAATGATTGACTAACCCACCTGTGCTGCATAAAATTACTCCACAACATTCACTGTAAAGCCTAACCCCAGCCACCCCAAACAAAAAAAACAAAACACATTTTATTTTTAAATGAGGGGAAGGCTAAGAACTTCTTAGGTGTCACATGGCACATGTTCAGCTTTACTCCATAGTTTACTTGCAACCCTGTAAGTTGATGGCTTTTCCATGAGGACCTAGAAAGAAAGCGGGGGCATGCACAGCACCATATGATCTTCCAGGTTTAAAAAAAAAAAAAAGAAGGACTTAGGCACCACCTATTGTAGGCCACAGTTCCTGGACCAGGTCTCCTGGGTGATATGAGGTATGTAAAAGAGGGTAGTAGCAAATAGGGAAAGTGGCACAGAATTAAATTTGCATTTTCAAATAAAAAAAAAAGGAGAAATCTCCTAAATGGGAAAACCAACAATAAGAAGTTGTGGTAGGGTCTAGAGTCTAGACCTTCCCTAGGCTAACCAAAAAATATAAAAGATTGGCTGCAGTCAGCCTTTCAAACGAAGGATAGTTTTGAGACTCTATGATCTGGGCAGATACATCAAGAACCCTATACCAAGACAGATATGGATAACATATCCAACGACCTCCTAAAATTACTAGTAACTTGGCTGTCTACATCAATAAATTTGGAGTCACTGACCTAAAAGACACATGCAGATTAGAAAGTCAGAATTCATGATCTGCATGTTTTAGATATGTTCCACAAAGTATTAAAGCCACTGGTCACACAACTAGCATTTTCAGAAGGATAACTCAGCAATGGCAGCCTTTGTATTTTCTCGTGAGAGGTTTCCATTCAAATTTTTTTGTAACAACGAGCAAATCTTGAACACTCTGTATTCCAATTTACAAAAGAAGTGGCTGCCTAGAATACTAAACCAGTAATGGTTACAGTCGCATGCCACATTAGGTGTTCAAACATCAGACAAGATAACAAAAGGGTATGAAAAGGCACAGAAGCACTCAATGGGTGAAGAAATGGGCAACCCTGTTAAGGCTTTCTAACCTCCAGGATCTCTAAAATATGTAATAGTATAAAATATTACATGTCTGAGACAACAAATTACATTACGAAGTTGCAGTACTTCATGTTCATACACAAAATATCTTGAAGAATGTTCTACCTTTGCTTCCAAATAGTAATACAAAATTAATCCTAATAAACTCACCAAGTACCAGACTCAAATTTGTAGTTTACTCTTTCTGGGTCTGAAAATTTGTGACCTAAAAAAGGCAAGGTAATCATCAATAGATCACAAAATAATTAGTTTGACTGCAGAAAAGAATAGGTTCTTTTAGGAAAACATTACACTAAATACTATAATTATACATAACATCCACCTATGCCCAGACTATGGACAGCACTATTTACAATTGAAGCAGTAAAAAAAGTTTAAAAGCCATCCCTGATCTCTCTAGCTGCTTGCACTATGAAGTAAAATCAATCATACTCAGACGCTAAAGTCCAGTTTAGATGCAGATGACGTGTGTTAATAGCAGAGGCAGGCTGCCAAGATTATGCAGCAACAGAAAGTAATAAGAGCAAAGATTTCAGTGCCTCTGTTGCGAACTTTAAAGGGGAATTTCTCCACAATGCCTATAGGTTGTTCACAATATGGCAATTCGTCAGTATGCCTAGTCTGGGCACAGGTTCACTTTAATATATATCTGACATTCAGCATTATTCACTTGTCTTTTTGACAAAGAAAACCGATAAGTATTTTAGGACAGTCTGGCACAGATGTGATTTAGCATCGATAGGAAGATTAAGTTCTTTGTAATGTTGTTGGAAAACAAATCGCTGGGATAAAAGCGGTTGAATAATTTAATTTTTTTTAATATTGTAATCTACTTCAGAAAACGGCTGCTTTTGTTGGAGGGTGCTCTCCGCACACCTTACAGCAATCCCGGCCAGTAAGAATGATGGTGCTTGTAATGACTACCACGGATGGCACCGTGCAAAGTACGAAATGAAAAAGCAGGTCACCAGCACTCAATTTAAATAGATATGTCCTTTTTAATGGACAATTATGTCACGACAATCAAGCAAAAGGCTTTTGTTGATTGTCGTGACATAATTGTCCATTAAAAAGGACAGATCTATTTAAATAATTTGAGTGCTGGTGACCTGCTTTTTCATGTCCTAAAATACTTCCATTTCTATTGAATGCCCTATAACCATTTCGTTCTGAACTTTTATCAGTTATTCATTTATCTTCCCCCTGCTCACTGCATAGCTGACAAAATAATCTGCAAGATCAATTTGCTCAGCAGGTATTTGCTATAAAAGGTGTGGCACTTTGGTGGAATACACCCTTTGTTTAGTGCAACTACAGTTTTTGTAATTTTAAACATTTAATACATGTGATTTTATTAAAAGAAACTGTGGGCCCCACTGCAAGGGTTAACTGCTCGTTTTAGTCTAGGGAGGAAAATTAAGTTATACTCACCCGATCCTTCGAGTCAGCCAGATGTGACAGCACTCCCTCCAGTCTCGCTCAGCGTCCTCACGTCCTATACACAGTGTATAGATTAGGACAGAGGACCTTAGACTGCTGTAGTGGAGGGGGAGCAAGGCTGGGAGGACCACTCTACGAGCAAGCCGGCTCTGAGGATTGGGTGAGCGTTTTATTCTCCTCCCTAGACCAACATGAGCAGTTCATTCTTGCAGTGCGGGGGTAGCCCCACTGCCCGTTTTTCTTTTAACATAAGATAGCATACAAACTAGAAAATATTTCTATAAGCACAAAATTTACCGTAAAAATTAAGTCAGCTTACAACAATGTAGCAATTCAGTCAGTCATACATTTTGTTGCGCCAGTAAGGCCTTGTTTATGCTGTGTAAATTTGTGCCGTACACGTCCGTGCATGCCCATATCTGGCCATTCCTGGAAGGGACAGGTGCTGCATGTAGCAGCCTGTTAATCCCTATGGGAGGACACGACCGTACGCACACCTGAACTGCGTAACCGCGCAGGTCTGGATTTCCGTAATTGGACGCAGACAGGTTGGATTCTGTCTGTGTCCGAGCATGTACACCCGGACGTGCACAGATGTGCAGTACAAGTGTGCGTATGACAACGTACAGCCATGGGGAAGAACAGGCTGCTGTGTGCAATTACATGCACATGTCCTAGCGCGCCGCATGCACATGTATGGCACGAGTTGTGTGAATGAGGCCCAATAGTCATGACCCCGTTAACTCTTCCCTTGGACAGTCAAATATTTTTTTTTAAAAAGGGAAATCATTTTTATTTAGTTACATTAAAAAAGGGAAATAGATTTTCACTTACTGTATGGCTTCGAAATTAATGTCACAATAATATCTGCCATGGTGGTCACCTCTGAAGCTCCATGGGACATGTGTGTATTCAGTTTTTCCAGTCCTAAATCTGCATATCTTGGTCAAGGAAAACTAAACAAAATGTGCAAGGCCTAAGAACACAAGCAGCTGGGACAAAACCCATACAAAACCCTTCCAACAATCTTGTCAGATTTGGCCAGATTAAACCGTTAAGATTTGGGTACCATGGACATTCTTAGCCAAGCATGCTCAGGGGAACAATCAGGTTGAATTCTGATTGCCATTTATTTCCTTGAGACAACATCTCTTAATGGCCTGTATTCCCACTCCCTCTTCCATAGACAAAATGATGCAACTACTGTATACACAATATTTGTCTATGGAAATGGAATGCGAATACGTATGCTCATTCTATGATCTTATAGCAGAAAGATTGTTCGGGGCACAAATTGTTTAAGACTATAGAAAGCTTTAAGAAACCCTTTATTATTTTTCACTTCACACATTATACTTGCCCTTACCAAAGATCGAATCATAAAATGCAGTCAAACTTGAATAAGAGTGGCCGACAAAAATGGCTTGGGTTATTACATGCACCTCCATTACTCAATAAAAAAATGACAGCTCCTGTTAAAATCATCTGTTACATCATCTGTACTTACACCCCCTGTTACATCATCTGTACTACATGAGCAGAGACCAAAGATGACTGGTTACTCATCACGGGTTCCCCTGGGGAGAAGATAATCACGTGATGCATTACATTTGTAAAAATCTTGCTATGTTTTGCCACCTTTATACCCATATGTTAGCTGATAGTTAAGGCAAGCTGTGGTAGAGGATTTCTGCCAATTATCCTGTTCATGGCTACCTCCAATTTCCAAGACCAATATACATTCTCAAACTGGCCATGGTGTGAAATAAAGTCATTAGAGGACTTTATCCATGGAGGTGGTTCTCATGAGAGCATCTATTGTCCCACCAAGATATTGACACTTGTTGCAAATAGAAAACATGTATATGTAGACTGGTAAGATTGCCACTGCATTTGCCATTCACAAGGGGATTTCATTCATATCCTAGGCCAGACAAGTATATAAAATGGTAGTAAGGAGCTTATTACACCCGAGTAAAACATGCCTTAAAAAAAGTCAGTTCTATTCTACAAGAAGTGTCAAATGAGAAGTAGAGTTACGTAGTTTTATTGAATCTTTAACTTCTTTGGGCTTTATTCCAGTAATAGAAACTCCAGAAAAGAGGCTGAAGTGAGAGCCGGCAAGAACACTGCAGATTATGTGCAACCCACACATGTTCTCGTCATTAACATGCATGGAGGACCCAGCCCTTCTCTTTATTGCTGTGACTCCAGCCTGTCACAACTTGTACAAATCAAACACATAGGCAAAGTTTTCAGGACATTTGTTGTGCAATGATGCAGACAAACAAGTCATTTTTACAGCAGCTTGACTGGGAGTGATGGCAATCTTGGCTGACAAAACAGCTATGCAAGAGTTAAAAACCAGGATATATGCCATGAATCAGTGGCTGCACCCTTCACAATGGAAGTGAACAAGACTGAGCACACAAATCAAGTCAGCCCCGAGCGGGTTTTGCCAGAGTGTAATGCAATGTAATTCCCAGTGACAAAAGTTGGTCATGTGTCAAATGCAAGTATTTAATCCAAGCCTTCAGACAGTAAAACAGGAAATATATAGTGGCACTAAAACTTTATTAAAAAAAAGTGTATACAATCTATGAAAACTGAAAAATAAAAGCCCAAACCCAACTCCCCACACTGTTTGTACAGGATGTTTGCAGGTGCAGCATCAGGAATCAGTGGTATAGAACACCAATACCCTGTGATAAGTTTTTCCACTTGGGTAAGCAAGCATACCATTTACCAGCACCTAAATCAGCCAGGTTGTGATAGAAAAAAATTGAACTAGCAGAAACCTGTAAAAGATTAGTAATACTTACCTATCCAGCGGGCAGGGACACCAATCTTCCCTCTTTTCCACAGCTATGGTGGCTGCTGTTATCCAACATTTCCAGTGTGTCCTCCTGGTCTCCTGCCGCGTGCTGGGGTTCCACCTGCCAACCACTGCAGGGTTCTTTAAGCCTGTTGGATCTTTTGCTTGGACACATTGCTCTGACACTACATGGTTAAATTGCTACGGGATTGTTCACATGGGCCCGATAGACAGAAGTAGCAAAAAGCAGGGCTTTCCTTGGAGCAGCAAACAGATTTGTAAATGCACCAGGTGGGGGAAAAAAAATGTAAGAGCAGCCATTGTTGACTTATTTTGTGTCGATTCAATAGCTTATGAGATTTACTAAAAAGGAGTAGATGGGGTAGGCAACCTCAGCACTCCATCTGCAGTAAATCTACAAATCCCATAATGCCTCTCGTCTTTCAAAGTGTCAAGGGACTTGTAGCTCCATAACAGCTGGAGTGCTGGGGTTGCCTATACCTGAAGTAGATAAAAGGTCACTTTGCATAATGAAAAAAATATTAGGTTATCAAATAAAACAAATCTAAATATCTAAAGCTTGGAATACCCAACAAGGAAAATGGGAAAAACAAAAAAACAAAAAAAAAAGGTGGGGAGGGTGCTTGTATAGGATTGCTGTAAATACAGCTTCACCCTATTTACCAAGCAAATATGCTTTATAGTAAAATCAGTCCCAGTTGGTCACTGGCTAGGAAGAAGCATGCACCTCACTAGACGGCATGCTTGTTCCACTTTTTCAGCCATTTTAAATACAAGGGATTTCTTGGCATGAATCACAGATACATTTAGTGAGCATGTGGGGCAGGAGGGGTTAATTTTCTTTGTAATAAAATGGAAGCATATAAATTTAAAAATCAAGCTCCAATTTTCAGAAGCTGATAACCAACTAAGAAAACAGTAAGCAATAATACAACACGTCTATCACATAGTTACCACGTTACATTATGATCACCGTCAAACTATCAATAAAGTGTGCGATCAGCAGCAGCCATGATCTCTTTCTATAGGAGGCCACATTTTCAGCACAAGAGATTAAATGATTTTTCTCATGCTATGTGAATTTAAAAGAGCAATTGGGTGTATCACAGGGCAGCAGTTACACACTTAAACATTTTCTCTTCAGGGAAAGGCGGCAGTGAAATGGGTGGAGTGATCACATAGAACAGCCAAGAACACTGCACTCGGCATGCCATAAGGCATCAGAACAGACCAAACTTGCTCGACAAGCTTGACACATAGGACCTGTCATGTAGCTTGTTGTCCTATCCCTACCCAAGCGTCTCAGCATTAACCCGTTCTGCAGGACAAGAACGCCGTCCAGAAAAAGCTTAGATGGGAAACACGTTGTCTGCCAAAACTATAAAAAGGTCACTAGATTTTAAAATGTAACATATATATTAGAGTCTTTAAAAAACAAATTTGCAATAGGATTAGTTTCCTTTAAAGGCCAATTTCAACCAACTTTATTTTCTTTTAGTTTAGTGAAAATGTTTCAAATGACTTCCTGGTTTTTATATTTATGTTTTTTCATAGAAAGTGCTGCTCTACCAGCTTCGACCCAAATCCTCCACTGGAACCCGATGCCCAGAAAAGATCTCTGCCAGACGTTAATCTTGTACTTGTAGAATACCAGCACTTCTAGATATAAAAACTCCAATTAGCATTAAAAAAAAAAAAAAAAAAAAAGAACAAAAAAAAAATTTTGGC